CGTAGGTCGATAGATCGACACTGAGTGGGGGATTGTCGTGTCCTTACGAGGTAGGTTTCTCGCCCCTAAGAGCGTGATGCCGATTTTTTCGTGATTTGTTGGGCTGCCGTGTCTGGGATAACGCATAGATAGCTAGCCACGTGCCTGCCGGCGCCACATGATGTCCAGGCAACCTGAAAATGTTGCGGGATTATTGTTTTCCCGAGATTTATCACGATGAGCTTTTGATGAGGAGCAGCACGGGGCGGCGCGTTTCTTTCCTGTTGGTGGCCACACACAACACTTGCTTGTTGTTCTGTTTCGCTTTCGTGCGGTGTGGTACCGTGTGTTCGGATGAGGGTGGGCGGGCGGGCGGGTTGGTGTGTCCCCTGTAAAGGAAGCGGGTGGTGGACGTGGCGAGGAATGGTGTGTGCCGTACCAGTCATGTCATGTTGTGGTCGTTGTTTGGGTAGGGCGTGCCCCGATCGAGCTCTTTCTCTCTCTCTCTCTCTCGTCCGCGAGAGCGCGCCTATTTATCTCCTTCTTCTTGTTGTTCTTGAGCTGAAGCTGCTGCTGTTTCGCTTTGTTGGTGTGCCTTTTTCTCTGGTGCAATCTGCTAGTCGCCTTGAGCTCTGTGGCTGTAGTCCGTCGTGTAACTTGTCTTCGTCGCTGTGCACGTTGTGTGTGAGAGTCCGCGCGTGTCTGTCTCATCCCGAGCGGCTTCCCTCTGCAGAATGCAGTAACCAGAGGCATGGCAGTAGTATTGTAGCGTCGGCACTGATGACAATGCGCCATTTTTATTTTTTTTTCGTGTTTCGGGCGAGAGAGGAAGATTGATTTTAGTGGTGGACGTTTTTGACGGATTTGTTCGTTTGTACCGCACGCACTCAAACTTATGTTTGTCAGTTTTTCATACCATCTCGTAACAATGAATTGATTGTTGGGGTTTTTTGGCATGCATGCGTGCATGCATGCCGTCCGATGTCTTTAGGCTCGGACGCTTTCTTTGTTTTTGGCGCGTCGAGACAGAACAGGTACATTGTAGCCAGCAGGTGCGGTGTTTTTCTCTGGTTTTGCTATGGCACTTTTGTTCTCTCTTGTTTCGACGGCGTCCCCTTTTTTCGTTGTCGCCGTATTCTTGCCAGCCAAACGTTTTTTTTTATTCGGCGTTTTTCCTTTTTTTTGAACCAACCGTGTGCCCTCTTATTTTGCTCTATTCGTTCTTCTTTTTGCGGAGGAGGAAGAGATGGAAAGAGAATACCCACGAGCAGGGAGAAGATGTGGTGGCGGTACGCAGCTTGTTGCCGTAGGTGGTGGTGGTTGTTGGCGACGGCAAGGCGACTTTTTTGTGTGCATAATGGTAAGCCTTTTCCCGTCGAGGGCGGGGGGGGGTTGGTGGGCTTAGCATTTGTCGTGTGTAGATGGGAGGTAGTCAGGCAGCAGAGTGTTCTTCATATATATAATATGTGCTTGTATATTTTTCTGGTTGTTTTGTTGTTGCGAGCAGCGTGACGTCACCTACCACGTACGGACTGCGGGACTCACAGCACGTGGTCTACATGAAATGAACGGATGGGATTGGTTTTGTTTGTTGGGGCAGTAGCGCGCGACCGTCTTGGTTGGGCGCTTCGTTCCAGGAAAACGGCACAGCAACGAACAACTTTCGTTCGTCGTTGTCGTTCAGTTTTGATTTTTTCATGTTGCCTATTTTCTGGCTGACCTTTCCGCCAAGTCAAGACAGCAGGGAGGCAACATCATCACCTGTAATATTTCGGAAGAGAGAGGAAGAGGCACTTGCTACTTTTGCGTGCTTGCGAATGTTGGGTGGGTCGGCGGGTGTGCATAACATGGTTGTTATCTATCGCGGGGGAGCGAGGCTGGCTGGCTGGCGGGGTGTTGACCACTACGTACTGCTGTGATGTGTCGGAAGGTTGAAAGGTTGGTTGCAGGGGGAGGGGGGGGGGAGTGTGAGAGGCAAGTCTCGGTCAGTCAGTCAGTCACGAGGTGGTGGTTTTTTGATGTGGTGTGCACGCGAAGCTTACATTTACCAGGTAGTCTAAATAGATGGTACATTTTATATGTATGCGCAACGCTGTTCCAACATCTGACGGTATGTCTTGGCTCAGCGGCGACGCGTGAGTGAGAAGAAAAGAACGTATCCCGTCTGAAATTTGTGCGGTTGGAGTGCTCCGCCACTGCTAGTACCCGTAGCAAGCAAGGGCGTCGATTGACGAAAATGGAGATAGATGAAGGAACAGCAGTGGAAGCAAATCGGTCAAGTTGCGTCGTCGGGCTCTCGATATCGGGAAGCAGGTTGGCTTGCCCTCTTGTGCCATCGAGGTTGATCAGCGTTGCATTATTATTACAATGACCAGCATCGAGAGTGGGCGGGCGGGCGTGGTGTTGTTGGCGATGCGGCAGATCATCGTACGTTCTTTACTGTTAGTCGTGTTTCTGTCATGCTTACTGCTGCTGATGCCGCAGCCCTTTCTCATCATGGGGCAGCAACGCAAGAAGAGTGAGTCGTTTTTTTTTACGTTTGTTTGTTATTTGTATGCCCTGCCTTTCTTCTAATATTATTGTCATGATGATGATGATGCTGGTGGTGATGGTGGCGTGGAGCATATAATAGAAGAAAGACTAGTCTGCATGATGATGGTTTGGTTGCGATGGAGAAGGAAGGAAGGGCTCTCGCGTGAGATGTCTTATCCTCGCGTGAGCAGCCCCATGAGGTAGGAGTGAGTGCGTTGATTGAATGGTAATATAATAGACGGTTTTGGCAAAGGAGGGGTCACCCAAAAGCGTAAGGACGGGGGGGGGGGTAGATGGATGGATGGGTGATGGGATACGGTGGGGGGGGGGAAAGGGCGGGCTCTCCCAAACTTGGATCCTCTCTTTGCACTATTACATGCGTAAGCTAGCTTTCGGGATGTACAAAAGGATCGGGACACAGATAGATAGTATGGTGCAAGGGAGCGAGACGCAATTATGATAACGGTGGTTTCATCACAACAAGAAGAGAGAATGAGCGTATTATTATTGTTCCTTCGTCACCGGACACAACTAACAGCAGCAAGGACGGGTTGTGCTCTGTTATTGTTGTTGTTAATCTTGTCGAAAGGGCTGGCGTCGCACGCTATTATGTGTGCGCAAGAACGACGACGAGTCTTCGCACGAACACTCAAGACGCCACGCCCTTCATGCATGTCGCCGGAAGAGGAGAGGGTTCCCTCACACACACACACGCGCCCGACTATTTATTAGTGTCTTTCATTGACAGCTTTTGGTCCGCGTCTCGACAATATCCCTTCATTCGTCGCTCACTTTCCATGCAGGCATCACACGCTCCGCGGTCTGCTTGTAGACCTATCCTGCAGCTGCTGTAGGGTTAGGGTTACGGAAAGGAAACCCGAACGAGTCCTAGCGAGTGGCTCAACATAACAGCCCCGCCGGCCCGTCCTCTTTCCGTCGCCCACCCCAGCACCGAGCTGCCGAGCAGTAGTCTACGCATTCTCCACCACAAGGAGTGAGAGTTGTCATCGTAAGCCTGCTTCTGTTTGTTTCTGACCCACCCCCCCATGGCGTCGTCCATCACCACGCGCGCGCATGCTTCTGGTGTCTCTAAACTGTTATTTCTTGTTTTTATTTGTTTTTCTTAAACACCACGAATGCATCCCTATCATAGAAAAGAGCCTATATATATTTTGTTTTCTTCACGTCTGTCTTCCTTCTCATTTATTTGTTCGTCGACGTTGTTCGTTGTTGTCCATGCCAGAATCAATCGTCGTCGTCGCGTGAGTGAGGGTGATGACGTGATGATGACGTCTGTCTGTCTTGCGTAAATTTTTCCCACCGCCGCTTCCGTTTTCAAGCAGCACGACTTCCTCCGCCGCGGGAAAAAAGAGAGACAAAAAGGCTTCAGTTGTTATGATGACGACGTCTGTCTTGCGAAATCAGCATCATGGCATCATGGCGGTGACTGTACTACTACTACTATGGAAACGAACGTACATAGCATGCTTACGACGACGACGGGCACGACAGTTTCTTCGTGGTCTGAGCACCTCTCGTCTCTTCGCACTAGTAACTATTGAGCCAATAAATTACCCATTTCACGAACCCACAAGGAAGGCGGGTCCGCGTCGTCAGTTGAACCAGTTCGGATGTTTCAAGGTGCTGAGCGGAGACCGGAACGGTTTTTGAATGTTCTTAGACGACGACAACAACAACAACAGCTTCTTGTGTGGACTCGGCACGCTTGGCACCACATGCCTATACCACCTCAGCTTCGGTCAGTTGCCGCACCCACGGCGAGGGAGGGCGACACATTTATTTACTACGAAGAGAGGAAGGACCTATAGCAGGTAGTGCGTGCACTAACCCCCTACACCCTACATTGCGCCGCGTCGTCCAAGTACCGATGGGATCCAGCATGGACAGATAGATAGATCTGATGCTTTCCAACGAGAAAACTAAGGAAACAATCTCTAAATCTAATTCGGCAGACTTCAACCAAACTCAGGAATAAAATCGGGAATCGTGGGGTGTACTCATGTAAACGCATGCCGTATTCGTTCGGTAGATCGTTGACCCCACATCCCCTACAATGTCGGGACGGAGGAGCGATGTGTATGCCGCGTTTCCGCCGGCCCAGGCTACATTTCACAAGGATGCACCAGAAGCGTGTGTGTGTGGGGGGGGGGGGGGGGGGCAAAGGGAAAGGCCCGGAAAAAACCATGGGTTCCCCCCCCCCCGGCCAAACCCACCCGGGAAACCCCCCCCCCCCCCAAAAACCAACCCCCCCCCCCCCCCCAATTTTCCCCCCAAAATTTTGGGCCTTTTCCCTTTTTTTAAACCCCCGGGGGAACCCCGGCGC